AAAGATCTTGTGATTCATATTCTGTTCCTATCATTTGTCCCCAACCTTTTTTCCAATCTCTTTTGGTTTTGTTTGGATCTCATTGGCTAAAGTAATGGCTGAAGAGATTGTGAATAAACAATATCGGATAAAAGTGATTTATTACCAGAGATATGATCAGAAGCCCCAGAGTCCATGACCCATGTTCCAAGAGTACTAGATTGCGACACACAAGCAAAAGAATTACCTGCAACAGACACATTAGGTTGTGCAACCGAAACTACTTGTGGAGAAGTTTGCTTATTTGCACGATACTGGAGGAACTCAGCAATGTGAGCATTATTAGATGGTTGATTAGGTTGAGCACCATATGCTACCGGTGTAGATGTCTGTTTACTTGCGCGATTTCGAATGAACTCATTATATTCCTTTAGAACAATAGGATCATAACTGGGTGGTGGACTATGCAAAATATAACATGTCACGAGTGTGTCCAGACTTGTGAGCATGACTACACTTGGATCGAGGTTTCCCAAAACGCCCTCCCCCTCGCCGATTCTCCATAGACTAATATGTATGCTTTTCTAAGTTTTGGGATGCGAGAATAGAGTCAACATTGGGTGATGAAATTACTTTGTGATTGGGAGGTGTCGCAAGGCGAAGGAGATGAGAGAATAATTCATCGATTATAGGGACTGTAGGGTTAGCTAAAATTTGATCACACGCAGAATCATGATCAGGAGAAGTCTAGCAAAGAGTAAGAACTAGAAAAAATGTTTGTCTGTAATATTGTTGTTTTTCCACATTTGTAGTAACTGGCATCAACATGTTGAATTCCTCCATGACTGCCTGTACCTTTCCCAAGTAAGTAGACATATCAGATTCTTGTTTCTTTAAGTTGGTCAATTGAGATATCACATCATAGAATTGAGATATGTCATTAGTGTATAAAGCATGAGCCTTTTCCCAAACTGTATAACACGTCTGGAATGGGCGAAGCAAGGGCATCAATTTGGAATCAATAGAATGCCATAGAAGACTACATAATTGAGCATCTACTTTCTTCCATTGTGCTTTTGGCTTTTGCATCTTCCTCACTAGTCTTTGCCTTTACATCTACCACATAAGTCTTGTTTGTTAAGTGATCTCGGACGCCTTAACCCTTGCACCACAACTCAACCGAGGAAGCCCAAGATAAATTGCTTGAACTTCCCAATAAAAGTTCAGAAGTGATTATAGGGATAGAACTTTCAATCCCCATATTTTTAGAACCAAAAACATCACCCAAAAGACATTATGCTTAATTTGTCTTGGAAACAACAAAAAAACTTGATTATTGAGATTTGATTGTCGGATAATTCAAATCTCAAAGAAAAAGTTGTTGGAAATAGCCTGAAATAGCCGGAACCCTAATTCCAGTAGTCAGATCTGGTTAAAAACAGTATGAGCATGGTCGGAATGGATGGACGACCCCAACTGCCAAAAAATTTCTCAAAAAATATTATCAGAAAATCCTCACGCGCCGGCGCGTGAGACAGATGTCGCCGAAAACTACCACCTCAATCGGCGCGTGGGGTGGTGTTTTCCGATGGTTTTGGCTGGGGTTTGGTCGCGGGATCTTTCCGAACCTCGTGGTGGTGTTGGTTTTCACACAACACCCATCGAAAGAAAAAAAAACTAAATCAGACCCAACAGTCACCGAAATTTGACAGACATATGGTGACTTGTTTGTTCTCACCAATGCTATCATATGAGAAATATATGAGAAAAATATTATTGAATTGTGTATCTAAATTGTTACATTGAGACTATTTATAGACGCCACATTTGAATTCTCTTCCAACTAGGATTCCTATTCTTATTTCTATTACTATTTCTATTCTAAACGGGAAATACTAATTTCTATTCTAACAAAAGGCATTCTTGACCCATGAAGTCTTGAGGAAGAAAAGAAAAATCATACTTCCGTCGTTCTCTTTATATGGGAAGACATGGGAAACCAACGACACAAATATGGTCCATGTTTCTCAACTTTTTAGAAGTGAAATGGACTTTGCCCGAACATACAACTGATTTACTTAGTTGTTGGATCAGGAGAGGAGGTAGCAAGAGACAAAAGACCTAGTGGAATTTGATTCCACATTGCATTTTGTGGACAGTGTGGAAGGAGAGGAATAGTAGGAATTTTGAAGATATGTCCGATTCCATTCACAAGGTTAAATGAAATTGCATTTTATCTTTATATTTTTTGGTGTAAAGAGATAGGATTAGAGGGTTCAAATCAACTTTTAGAATTCTTAGGATCCTTATAAGTAATATGCTTTGAATTCTTAGGATTTTTTTTCTGATTTTCTAAAGGTCCCCAACATATCCTTAATGTTGAAGAATCAATGTTTACCAATTCTCAAAAAAAAAAAACAAGTCGAAATGAATTGTATTTTGACTTTATGTTTTTTGTGTAACCAGATATACTCTAATGATATTGTCTTTATCATTGTTGTCTTAGACTCATTACAAGGATAGCATAGTAGATTTTGAGTTCTTTTGTTAATATGGTTTCCGTACAACCCATGTACCGAGTTACAGAAATAGAAACGGTTACCTATGTCAAAAAAAAAAATCTTTCCATTTCTCTATGTATTAGTTTTCTTCTTGTTTTTCAGATTTTTTTCTTCAGATTTCCATTGCTAAATGTTCCTTTAGCCTTTTTTTTGTTGTTCTTTGAGTCGAGAGTCTCTCAAAAATAACTTACCTACCTTCTCAAGGCAGGGATTAGGTCGGTACACTCTATCCTCTCTAGACCCTACTTGTGAGATTACACTGAGTTTGTGTTGTACTATGATCAATTGCTCAATTGGAATCAGAAGGATGCTTTATAGATGTACATATATCCATACAACAAACACCCCATCTATCGTTGAATTAGGTCATAAAAAATGTGAGAGTGAGAAAAGCCTATGTTCAAATGGTGTCCCTATAAAAGTACGGAATTACCTTACACATTGGACTACTGTGTAGCTTACCAAACTATTTAATGTTCAATTAAGCATTAGAAAGATGCGAAATGGGTGAGGAAAGTTCTTTGGTTAAATAAACAATAAATAAGATATTCAACATTGTGCTTGCTATTGAGATATTCAGATGATGAAATCATGGGAAGAATGATGAGAGCATTGATATATCACTAGAGCAGATAACCAGTTTGGATTTATACAGATAGATCTACAAAGAGATTTTGTATTTGTTAAAAAGATAGAACTGAATATATAGGAAGTGGAAGAAGAATCTTCACATGATACTCATTGACTTAGAGAAAGCATATAATCAGTGGCGAGATCAAAATTCTCATTAAAGGGTTCAAAATATAAAGAAATAACACACGAAGAAGTTGAAGGGGGTTCAACATCTTTTATATATATACTTAAAAAATAATTTTAGCCTTGTATAAACATTATGATGCGCTACTTTGCTTTGCCCCTGCGTACAATAAAAAGGATTTCTTCTTTAAATACATCCTCTTTATAAAGGATATTTACAAAGAATCCATCACAAGTGCGAGAAAAGTGAAAAGAGATGAGAAACTTCTCATAACCATGGGTTTATACTAAGGATCATCCTTGAGAGCCCGTACACATTTAACCCAAATTATGGATGATCTAACTACTGATATACAAGATAGCTTTTCTTGGTGTATGTAACAAGTAGATGTTAAATGATGAAACTAGTGTGGCGATCGATCAACAACGTGAACTATGGAAAAATACTCTGTAGAATTGGGGTTTTAAGATAAGTAGAAGTAGGAAAAAATATGTGTAGTACAAGTTCAGTTGGCATAGTAATGAAATTGAGGTGAATCCAGACGAAATCATGGTGCCATGATGCAAACAATTCAGATATCTAGGTGAAATCTTTTAAGAAATTGGTGTAACAGGTGAAGATATTAATGCATACTAAAATGGAGATTCAACAAAAATGAGGAGTTACTGTGGGAGGAAGTTGCTACACTTACGTTAGTCTGGTATTCTCCAGAAGTTTTAGTTTGATCAGATATTTGTAGATCAATATATGTGAGATTCAGAAAATCGACGCTACTTTTGTCTCAAAGGACAATTATTGAAGTTATGGAATGAAATGGACCAAAAATTAAGCAGGGTGTATGCATACAATTCATATAATTGATCATCAACTAGTTTAGAACTGAAGTGTACTACCTGTTGAAGGAGGGTAAAGGTGCAACTCATCCCTCACCTTTGCATGGCCAGCTACCAACCAAAAGGTAAAGGGAAAAGAAAATAGACTTCTCAAGAAAAATACAAATTAAATTCCTTTGGGAGGGGGTGGGGGTGGGGGAGAAGATAATAACAACAATTCTTCGGTGCACTAGAATTGTATGAAAGAGAGTTGCATTGAAGTGGCAATATCTGTATATATATGAGTGAGCACTCTAGATAAGTAAAGTTATTGGTGACAGCTAAGAGCTTTGAGTATTTTGAAATGGATGACTATCGCATCGAAGAACTTAAATTGTTAGAGAGAGCATACCTTTAGTTACTTAAATATATTTTATCTCGGTGCAGTCCCCTCACATGTGGGCTTGATTTTGTTTTATGACATAAGCATGTGAATTATTATTTTTTTGATAGTGGGTGGCAGTGAGAAACTCTAAACTTCTGTCTGCTCTGAACTATGTTGAAACGTGCGATCAATCTCATCTAAAAACTGAAGCAGAATACAGTCGATTTACTAATTCTATTCTATCTCAACAAGCTCTAGTCTTCCAAATATTTTAGCTCTTCGAACTATTTTCACTTATGTTGTTTGTCATGCCAGAAGTATGATATAATTTTCTGTGCTTAATGTATCCCTTTTGCATATATACTATCTTCTCTTTTTGTGCCTGTGGACTTAACAAGGTCAATCTAGTTGATTGCAGTCTTCAGTACGGAGTAAACAATTCCATCAAATATTTTTAGGATCTTTCCAGTTCCTTTTTTCCTTAGGAGCTTTAATTTTCCTGTCAGGTTTTATCAGTTGGAGCAGAGCCACTACTTAGTCGCTTTGACCTGAATGGAGGTATTATTTCACAGATACCATGTGCTCCTCAGTCATTGTTTTCCATTTCTGCACATCCTTCAGGGGTAAGAGACTACTTTTTATTTAGTTTGCTGATAGTTTGCTGATACCGAACTCTTTTATATTTAGTGTGATATGCATTTTTTAGTTAGATTTGTAATTTTACATTTTATTGTATCAAAAACTAGAACTGCTATATACACCAAAACTGAAGTTGAATCGCCAATTGTGGCAGGAAGGCTAATTACAATGTTTAATTATCGTTATCGGTTATCATAACTCAAACAAAGTTCCACGTGTACATGATTTTCAGGTCACAGCAGTAGCTGGTTACGGAGGAATAGTGGATATTGTATCACAATTTGGTAGTCATTTGAGCACATTCCAGTGCCGAGGAGTTCAGAAGGGACTGCCAATGCAGCTAATTTAACTTGGGGACATTTTTAGATGAATCAGTCAAGACAGGAAACAATTGCCTGCAAAGAAACTTGTCAGTGAGATGTTATGGTTAAGGAAAACCAACTTTTTTTTCTGAAAAAAACTTGGTCACCATTTACTTGCAGCAAGCTATATGAGTTTCACTCTAAAAAAAGAACGAAATTTTGCCGTGTATCATCAGCTTGGGGAGGAATTACAACTAACAAATACTATTAGTTATTGTTATTGAAGTGAGGTGTACATATGAATATCTGATGAAAGTACTACTGTGAAGTAACTATTGTCAGCAAAAATGAAACATTACATTCTTAAGTCCAAAATAAGTGTGGATTAAGGTTTTTAGGACACCCATTAAGATGAGAAAAATCATATATCTCATAAACTGTGATTTATCTTCCAGTTTCGTAAAGCAACACTTTGGTCCAAAGTGGTGAAAAAAACTGGATGACCATTTATTTCTTCATATTACTGTAAGAACATATAACTAACATTAGAAGAGGTTATTCATCGAATTGGTGAATCTATACTTATGAGTTCGTCAAGTTTATCATCTTGGTAGATAAATTTCTGGAATTTGGACATTGTAGAGAGTCAAAAATTGAGCACTTCGAGTATTGAGAACAGAGATGCAAATTATGATTAGTCGGGTCAGTGAGTTATAAATTCTGATGATTAAATATAAAGAAAGAGCTTGAGCCCCTTTGCCGTGGAGGAACACCACATTAAAGATGTGCTTAGACAAATTTGTTTAGGCATGATTATACTTCCCATTCTTTTTTTTTCAAACACGATATCTAGTTTTTAAATAAACTTAACACACTTAAATATTTAGTGAAACTGGATGGGCAAGCCCGTGCGATGCACGAGCCCAACATAATACTTTGGTTATCAAAATATAGGTAAAGTTTTCGGTAGAAAGTTAGTGAATGCCGATTGAGAACATTATTATTTTATTATTGTCATTAATTGAATCATGACGACATATACAAATTAAAAGTGTTTTAGGTACCTTACGCTATAGTTACAAACTTGAAATCGTAGAAACATAAAATATTTTCAAAGTTGATGCAAGCTCATTTCCAGGACGCCTACCTAATGGAGACCTCAGCGACCCGTGAGGTTTCAAAGCAGGCTTCAAACATCAAGTTAATAAGCAGCACTTACGATTTACATCCAATTATCTATTTTGGATTCCTTTTGCTCGGCAGGACTCTTTCAGAACTCCTTTTCAGTTTCCTTCCATCCTGCAATCTTTTCTCTACAACTTCCCTTAAAAATCACACAAAAAATTCTCAGCCATAGATATTTAAAAAAGTATTACTCGATACTGTAATATGCTACGATATCCTTTTTCTTGTTGCTGATTTAGAAATAAGAGAGAAATGTATATAAGCCTCGAATATCTATTTATATATGAGGGGAAAAAAAAACATCAAATGCACGCCTTGAGAATTAAAATGAATTGCTTTCTCAGAATTTATGGAATCTCTTTCTTGGAAGGATAAGAATAATTTACTCTGCGACTGATATCTTCATTTGTTTATTCAGTTTAGAAAATTGATTTAGATGACTTACACAATCAACAGGCTTATGTGGAGATATCAGTCATTTGTTTATTCAGTTTAGAAAATTGATTTAGATGACTTACACAATCAACAGGCTTATGTGGAGCAACCCCACCAACTAAAACCGTGAATGACCTAAACTAGAGAACAAACATATTTTTCATTCAAGTAAAATGTATATCGATATACTTCTTAAACAAATATATAGAAAGGCTTGATAACGTCCTTCCTACTAAAAAAATAAGAACGACAGGTTTATATCAATTTAATTATTTTTCCACTGCCTTTTTTTTAAACAATAAGGAAAGCGAACAATTATTTGTATCACAAGTTTAAGTGTTCAAAACCATGTGACTTGCTGATTGGATCTGAATCTGCTATATAGTTATCTAAGATATTTCTTTTTCATACTTCCCTACAGAGACACAAACATTTGCTAACATATTCATGAAATATCAAAGTTAGCTTCACCCTTTTTTTCTTTTTAAGTAACTATGTTAGTTAGCATTATTATGAAGCTAAGAACTTCTTGCAAATGGATGTTTCTCAAGTAACAGAAAATTATACTACACTATTCGAATGGAATTCAAAGGCTGAAGATGGATTTGAATAATAGTAAAGATCTGCTTCAGAAAGGAAAGCTGTCTACTTATGTACAAAAGGAAAAATCTTAAACCTCGATCATACATATTTAGATGGTAACATTATCTTTTCTTTCCCTAATAATAAATGAAAAAGAAAGAAAAAAATGTATAAAACATACATGGAAATAGATAACTAAGACTTTCCAAATCTAAGAAGAAGAATAAAAATAAAAATTTAATTTTTACCACAACTACACTAATGGTGTTCCGACCATCGATTCCTCTGCTAGTCTGCTATTGTCTTTTTACAGCAGATTTAGTTTTGTTTCTTATTTAGTGTGTAAAGTTGGATGTAGATGTCACGCCCCAAGATACCCTCGAGACGCGGACACGGAACCTAGGACCACAAGTAATCCCAAGCTAACCCTGCTGGCATGATCATGAGCATACTAAAGAATAATAAACTGATGTGGAAGCTATATCATAATTTAGTCTGAAAAAATGAAGAATACCCATATTCTATAGCTGAGATATTTGAAAACAATGAGTTTAATACAAAACAAATATTAACTCAATACTAAGTTGAATCTAACTATGTCTGAAAATAGCCTCTAAACTGGATTAGAAATATTGGGACAAGCCCCAGCTAAATCTAGCAAAAACTGAAACTAAGTGACTAAAGACTGAAATGAAACTCATAACTGTTGTCCTCGGAGAATGAGGACTCACCACTGAATCTGCTGAACTGGAGATCGGAAATCGATCTATGCGTGCTCTGGATGCTGAGAACCTGAACCTACATCACGAGAAGATGTAGCGCACGTATGCGTCAGTACTTGAAAGGTACTGAGCATGTAGGATAGAGTAAAGCTAAAATAAAACATAACTGAACAAACAAAACTGAATTCTGAGCTAACTGGATGCAATGACCAATTTATAACGTACTGAAACTGAATACTGAACATACTGATAAATGGTCAATACAGAGAGTTTGATTGATCTGTGGGAGCTACTAATAACCGATAATAAAACCACATGAGCTAAATGTGGAGTCCGATGTATACGCCCCATTGAAAGGACCCAATATACCCTGCCAAAGGTATAAAGACATGCTGGAGTGATCACTAAACTGATTGCCCACAAAGGGACTTACAACCAACTTGGCTAGTAGTATTGGGACTAATCAGGCACGCTGAACCCTAGTCCAACTCAGTATTATGCTACTCCCAATAAATTCTGTAAATTAATTGATTATGTCTGAGTTTCTGTAAATACTGGATAGCTCGAAATTGAACATGCAAACTTAAAATGCACCAATTAATCTGGTAATTATGCATATATAACTGAGGCATGTATATCTGAAGTGTCTGAAATATCGGACGTAGCATGTGTAATTCAAGAACTAAAGAAATACATAGCTAGGGTTCTGAAATTCATGTGATAATCAGAGTAATAACATGATAATCTGATTTGGAACATATATTTAACTAAATCATGAAGTTCTATCAAAGTTCTAGAAACCCTAGGTTTAATCATGATAAGAGAATCAAGAATCTGATTGAAAACTAGGGACCCAATGGGTGAAAAGAACCCACTAGTGAAATTCCACATAACTGGTGATGAAATCCATGGAAAAATACTTAAGTTTCGGGTCTGGAACTATTGGAGCTTGTGCCGTTCTTAAACTAAAGTTCTTGAGTTTTTTCTCCTCTCTTGCTTCAAAATTTCTAGGTTTTGATATAATGATTTGACTTGAATATATTTTAATGATGTTTCTAGGCTTAAACTGACCAAAATCTGATGATTTAGTGTCAAAACGACGTAACTTAGGGTTTAAACGGTGTGAAAAAGGTCAAACAGACCCCTGGAAAAGTTGTTGTCGGGCCAAATGACGGCCAAGACTGACGGTCCGTCGTTTGCCCGACGCTCCGTCGTTGGGACCGTCGTTCGAGCCTGCTCGACAAGCCTTTACTAAAATAGACATAACTTTTTACTCGGAGGTCTGATTTTATCAAGGTCGGTGGTTATGGAAAGGTAATTCAATTATCTATCTTTGGGCAGGTCATGAGATACCTAATTTATTTTGTGCTAAGAGTTATGACCATTTGAAGTTGACCCAACTGTATTTCCCCTTAAGTGTCTGCAAATTTTCCACCCACGGACTGTGCAGGTCATCCGTAGATCTTGTCAGAGAGTGGATGAATGGGGGTCTCGATCGACGGTCATGGACTAGGGATCGTCGTCTGACCTATGGACCATCGGTCCGTCCGTTGATCAAGACTTAGCCAATTTTTCTAGCTGATTGGGAGTTTCTGATCCCTTCGACGTTTGTGCAGGACGGACCGTCGATGCCACCGTTGGTTGCACGCAATTTTTTTTGAAAAAAATAATTTTTAATCTATTTTAGCTATGGGATGTTACAGTAGGTTTCTTTGGGCCCATGTCTTTTGTTTTATGTCCAATTTTATATTCTAAAAGAGCAATGCCCGATTAAACTTTTTAAAAAACCTATATTGTAGTAATCAGGAGTTGTACACAAATAACACTAAAGTGACCAACACTGTAGCGAAATTTTTCTATCCTCTACCCCTTCCCCTCTTAGCTAGCTCCTAAACTAGTGTGGTCATTGGTAAGTCTCTTTATGTGTCCATCATCCTACATTAACTTTCAAATGTTAGACGATTAAGTACAGTAGAATGATCAGATATCTAAAATGACATTTTCATACTGAATCCTCTTATATTTTTCATTGAATGTCCTTAAAGAGATGTCATTTTATTTTGTGTTCAGCCTAAACCTTCGGTTAGATTTAAGCATTTCTAATGTTATATAACCGCACGTCCTTATCTATTCTTATATTATGACTTTCATCTAGCAAGCATGTCAATCTAAGAGGCTCAACTTTCACTCACATGCATGTAGTTTTATCAGACTGCAATTGTACTACAGAACTTGCCTATAAATCTTATAAATATCTTCTTATTAAACAATTCTTATAACCAACCTCCGATTAAGTCATCCTACGCTAAAATTCATGTGCTACATCTTCAGCTATTTGCACCAATATGCCTAGAATCCAAATTGTTTGTATCTTGGCCTAGAAATTCATGTCTAATACCAATTCAACTTCAGTCTTCTAAAGGGGCCTTGAAGTTTGTCTAATCCAAACAAATAATGTAGTTGACCATGAATTCAGGTCTTACTTTGTAAATACCAGAATATGGGCATTGTTTTAGGTAAGTTGATAGAAATGTTCTACGAAGTATGTGTTTGCTAGAATAAAGTTGCCCTTCCATCAATCAATTGATCATGAAACAACTCACCAAGAGTTTATAAAATCGGCTCAAATGCAAT